GACTTCCCCGCGATGTATTTGTGATTTCGGTATCGCTTAAGACTTCCCCGCGATTCATGCAAGACGCACGCTTCCACAAATCGTCTGCCCCTTGTCCCTCCTTTCCATCCGTCATCTCCACTCCCCTGCCTTAGCGGCTGAGCAAAAAAACATGTTGCAGGTAAGAGAGATATACCCCAAAGGGGGGAACGATCAAAGACGAAGAGGGCGGGTATCGAGGGTTTGGGATATACGTGTTGAATGACACGCGAGCACATCGAAGCGAACAATCTTAAAATGATTGGTGTTGTTGGTTGGTGCTGATGTTTTTGTTATTGTTGCTGGTGTTGATGTTGTTGTGGTTGTTGCTGCTGTTGTTGATGTTGTGAATGTGGTTGTTAGTGTTGTTGCTGTTGAATTCTCAATTCTACCGAATAATTATGGTTGATCCCCTCTCTTGGGCAGATTTATTTCTTTCAAGTAAAGTGCTTCTCCCAGGACTCACACCTTGTTTCTTTTTTACAAGGGGAAATGAAGGGTCACCAGAATGGGCCCCTGGCCCCGGAGTTGCAACATCACCCGCTCCCGCCGGATACTTCCTCACGTTTTATTTCAAAATCGAGCTCCCGCGCGGGAATTTGTCAATGTATACCGGAATCGCGCTCTCGCGTGGGACGTTCTCACAATGTATTCAGATGCCGCGTCCTCGATACTCAGGAATCACGCTTTCGCTGCGGTTTCCCGCACGATGAATTTGGGAATCGCGCTATCGCTCGAGACTTCGTCGCGATTCATGCGGGCCGCACGCCCGCCTTCCCGACCCGCCTGTTGGGGTCTACCCACTCGATCTGCCCGTCGGCTTCTGCCACGTTTTTTCTTGCTCCTAGCCCCCCCCCCTGCTACTCTCTCTCGTGCTCCATCCTCCTCCCTGCCCCTTGTTCCTTCCACCCATTCGTCTTCTCCTTCCCTGCCTGAGGGGCTGCAAAAACTACACGTTGAAGGTGAGACAGATATATCCCCCCAAGGGGGTACGATCGAAGACGTAGAGGGTGGGTATCGAGGCTTTGGGACATGTGTTGAATGGCCCGCGTACAGATCAAAGCGAACAGTATTACAATGGTTGTTGTTGTTGTTGTTGACGTGGTTCTTGAGTGCTCATTTCTGAAGAAAAATGTTCTTGTGGATCCGCCAAATGCCCATTGCATACTTTCAAACAAAATGCTCCTCCCGGGGTGCGCGCGTTGTTTTTGTCAGAGAAAATCTGTGGTCACCAAACTGCGCCTCTGGCCTGCGGTTTGCAACAACACTGGCTCCCGCCGGATACTTCCTCACAGTGTAGTTCACATTCGCGCTCTCGCGCGGACTTCTTGATAATGTCTCCAAGAATCGCGCTCTCGCGTGGCAGTCCTTTACAATGTATTAGGGCACCGCGCCCCTAAAAACTCACAAATCGCGTTCTCGCAATGGACTACCTGACGGGTTACTTGGGAATCGCCTTATCGATCGAAACTTCTTTCATGATGGGCTGACGCCTTACCGACCCGCACGCGACCTGGCCGCCTGGGCCCGCCCGCCCGACCTGCCCGTTAGGGTCCGCCCGCCGAAAATGCCAGGCTGGTTCTTCCGCTTGCGATGCTGCTCCTAACCCTCCTCCTGAAACATGTTATCGCGTTCCATCATCCCCCCTCCCCCTTATCCATCCACTCCACCCCTCCTTCCCCCGCTTTAGGGGATGCGCCAACTACCCGCGGCAGGTAAGGAAGATGAGCCCCCAAGGGGGTTACGATCGAAGACGAAGAAGGCGGGTACCGATCATGTGGGATTTACGCGTTGAATGGCACGCGGGCAGATGTAGGAGCGAACAGTTTTGAAAATATGATTGAATTTTCAGCCTTGAAGAACAATTATTGTTGATCACCGCCTGCTGGTGCACACTGTTTTTTGTTCAATCCAAATGCCCCCCATCGGGGCTCGCACCTTGTTTTATCACGGAACAATTTCCTGCTCAAACTCTGTCTTTGGCCCCCCGGCTACAACAACAACGGCTCCAGCCTGATACTACTTCCACAGCAACTCTTCCTCACAATTTATGCAGGAATCGCGCTCTCGCGTGGCTCTCGACACTCAGGAATCGACGCGACACTCAGGAATCACTCAGGAATCACTCAAGAATTGACACGACACTCAGGAATCACGACAGATGCCGCGCCCTCGACACTCAGGAATCACCTTACGATCTCGCTTCGGCTTTTCTCACGATTTACTTTGGAATCGCGCCATCGCTCAAGACTTCCTCGCGATCCATGCAAGACGCACGCTTCAACAACCCGCCTGTCCAACCTTTCCGCCTGGGCCCGCCTTCCCGACCCTCCCGCTGGGGGCCGCCCACCCGCTCTGTCCGTCTGGTTCTGCATCGTGTTTTCTGCTCTTAGCCCCATCTCCTGGTAATTTCTCGCGTGTTCCATCCTTTGTCCCTCCCTTTTTGATCCGTCTACTCTTCCCCTGTTTTAAGGGCAGCGCAAAATGCACGTGGCAGGTTAGGAAGATATGCCCCCAAGGGGGTGCGATCGAAGAGAAAGAGGGCAGGAACCTATGTTTTGGGAAATACGTGATAAATGGCACGCGAGCAGGCTAGGAGCGAACAGTCTTAAATTGATTGTTTTGTTTAATTATTGTTGATCCCCCCTCACCGGTGCATGCTGTTTTTCTCAATCAAAGTGTACCCCTCGACGCTCGCACCCGGCTTTTTGACAGGGAATGTCGTCGTGCTCAAACTGGGCCCCTGGCCCCCCGGATTACAACAACAACAACAACAACAACGGCTCCGGCTAGAGACTTCCTCCAAATTTACTCAGGACCCCCGCTCCTGAGACTTTCTCACAATTTACTCAGGATCGGTGCTCCCGCCTGCGACCTCCTCGCAATTTAGTCAGGACCCCCGCTCCCATCTGAGACTTCCCTACAATTTACTCAGGAACGGCGCTCCCGCTTGAGACTCCCTCGCAATTGAGAAAAAAACCCTTCCTCGCAATCTACTCAAAACCCTCGCTCCCGCCAGAGAACCCCTCACATGTTATTCAGGAATTGCGCTCTCGCCTGTGACTTCCATGCAATGTATTCAAAGATCGCATTTTCGACGTTCAGGAAACACGCTTCGCCAAGAACGCCGCTACAATTTACTTAGTAATCGCGCTCTCGCCATACTCAGGCATCCCGCTTGAATGTCCCACCCGCCCGACCCGCCCGTCAGGGGATCGCCCGCCAGTCGTGGGCTCCCGCCCGAGGCTTCCTTCAGGAACGACGCTTTCGCCTAGGACTTCCTCGAACGTTCACGCTCTTATCTTCCTGCTCCTCCTCCCTCTCCCTCCTCTCTCCTCCCTCCTCTCCTCCCTTCTCTCTCTCTCTCTCTCTCTCTCTCCTCTTTTCCCTCATCCTTATCCCTCTCTGCCCTATCCCCTCTCCCTCCTCTCCCTCCTCCCTTCTCCCTCCCCTCTCCTGTCTCCCCCCTCCCTGTTTCATTCTCTCTATCCCCTCTCTCTCTCTTTCTCTACCTCTCTGATATGTTTTTTTTTTTTTTCTCTCTCTCTCTCTCTCTCACTCTGCCTCTAATCAGCCGCCCTCCTCTTCGCTCCTTCTCTCCTGGCATTATCCCTCCTCCTTCGTCCTTCCCCCTCCCTTCCTCCCACTATCTCTCGTTCTCCCCCTCCTCTTCTTGCAGGGCCCACACCAACCCCAATGGCGGGCACATGTACGCCCACGAAGGATTGTTCGCCCGTTCAGGTTTGCCCGCCAGTCTGAGCCCGCCGCCCCCCACAACGGGAAATAATCCCCTCAAAGGGCGTGTGATTGAAGACAAAAAGGGCGGGTATCGAGGGTGTGGGAACTCGTTTTGAATGACACACGGCCAAATAAGAGCGAAAAGTCTTAGAATGAGTCTTGCTGTTGTTGTGGTTGTTTTGATTGTTAGTGTGGCTGTTGTTGTTGTTGCGCTTGTTGATGATGCTGCCGTTGTTGTTGTGGTGGTAATGGTGGGGGGTGGTTGTTGTTTGTAATATGTTGTTTGTTCTTGTCGTCCCGGCCGCGACCCGGCCCGCGACCCGCCCGCGACCCACCAGCGACCCATCCTGCGACCCACCCGCGACTCGCTCGCGACACACCTGCGACCCACCGCGCGCCCGTCCCCTCACTCGTATCCACAACTGCGGTGTGCTACATACAGGTATAAAGATGTATGGCGGCAGACTGCAGACATCCTGACCATAAGAAGTGGTCATCACTGGGGGGAGTAACTATTTGCGGCGGCCTTCCGCTGGCTTCTGCAGGGCTTTCCACACCTTCCGCTGAACAAAAGATGTCAACTCTTTCGACCCTCGAAGGCGATGCCCTTCTAGAAAACGCCGTATGTATATCGACTTCCTCTGCCCTCCAACCGTCGCGATCGAAGCCATCAAGGCACCCGCGTCACGCCAGCCGCGGAGATTTCTTCATTACAGCGCGCACGGTCCGAAGCACGGGCATCGGGGATCCTTCGCGGGGCTAGCGGGGAGGCCCCTCCTCGGGCACAGGACCTCGTGGATCTTCGCAATCTCTTCAGAGAACCTGACTGCGCTGCTGGCACTGCACAGAACACACTGCATGCCATACCACCGACAAGACTTGATCTCACCGTTACGGCCACCCCTGACCTCCCGAAGCCAGGCCGAGCCGCATGGCTGCGACGTGGGGGTCGAGTGTGCAGCGGCCCAGGGCCAAACCCGGAGGCAAACGCGACCCCGGCGCTTCCGTTGCTAGTAGCGGTCTGAGCCACTGCCCTTAGAAGACAGGGCCGCGGGCAGCCGCCACCCTGTCCTTGGAAGCAGGGCCCCAGAGCTCGGGCGCGCGCCCCACGGGCTGGGCCAGCCAAAGCAAAGACGAGGATTGGGACGAGCATAGCGGGAAGCCCTGGGCCCGTGCGGCGTTTCGGGGGGCAGTGCGCAGCAGCGGCAGAGGCAGGCCCAGCGGCGGGGAGGCGTGGCGGTCTCCTGGCGCTGGTGTTGTCGCCCGCGGTGCCGTTGGCCACGGTGGGGGTCGCCTTGGCCACGGTGTGGATCGCGGTGGCGTTGGCCGCGATGTGGGTCGCGTTGGCCACGGCTGGGGTAGTGGTGGTGGCCTTCTCGGGCTGCTCAATGGGAGGGCAATAGATGGGGGGGGGGGGGGAGAACGGCGAACCTTTCGGTCGGAAACCTTCGGGGCCCCATGGGACCTCTTGATCTCTTTGGGGCCTCTCTTTAAGACGAGGCCAGGACACGGACAACATAGGACAGGGATCAAGGGTCTCTGAGATCCAGCGTCTCTGGAGGATTTATCGGGCGCCGTGGCCTTCTCAGAGCATTCGGAACGCGTTAAAAGCTGTCCAAAACGCTCTGGAACGCTTTATCCCTGCCCCAACCCCGCCCGACTGTAGGGACCCTGTCCCGCAACCCTCGATCCCCCTCTTGAATCACCCCCATTTCGCGACGCCCAGCCTTTGTCTTCTTAGGCTGTGCCGGATTTGACCTCGGACGGGCGGGCGCCGATCGCGTCGTGTGGAGGTCGGTGTGATGGGTGCTCACTTCGGGCACGAGGGAACAGAGCAAGAAGAAGATTGGATGGGTACCTCCCTTGAACATCGCTTGACCAATCCCTCTCCCCACTGGCGTGGTCTCTCATCCAACTGCCTGGTTTAACCACCTAGATGGGGATATGGGCTGTTCCCTTCGGGTTTCGAGGCGCCTACCTCCAGCTGGGGTGGTGGGATGGCTGGGCTGATATACAATGGCCCAATGGGGACGGGGATAGGTTGAAGGATGCTGATCTCTGGGAAGCCACTACTCAGCCGAGAAAGCGGGAGAGGATTCGGCAAACAACTACCTGGACCTGGGGTAAGTTAGCTACGGGACATCCGATTGTCTTGACTGCCCTCCTGCACTATGGCCAAATATGTGCCCGCTACCGCTCCCGTTCCCGACATGGAGAAGAGACAATCACGGGTAGCGCCCAGTCAAGCGATCGGGGCACGGGCAATCGGCTTCCTACCCAAGTCCAGCCCTCCAGGAAGCGGGCGGGTACCGAATGTCTGCGACGAAGAACATGAAGGCTGAGGACGAATGTGGAGGATGGTCACAATCTCCCACCCAACAGGTTTGGGCTTTTAGACTTCAAGAACAGACCTCCCGGCCTGCCCACCCTGCATACCGCAACCACCGGATCCCCATGCTCACTCAGTATCCCGAGTACTTCGCCATAACATTCGCCCCTCTGTGCCACCGCACACCCTGCATGCTGCGGCCGCCAAATCCCCAGGCCCAACCAGTATCCCGAGAATCCCCCCCCCGCCTAGCTCTTTACTACCGGCGTCCACCCTGCATGCCGCGGCCGCCAGATCCCCAGGACCACTCAGTGTCCCGAGTGTCCCGCCCCTCGCCTCACCTTTACTGCGACGCCTACCACTACGAGTATCCGCGTAATTCGCATTCGACTGTACGCAGTCAAACATAATATAGCGGACTACGTACTACTCCATACAAAAGGATAACATCGACAATTGCACCCCCAATCGTACCACAAACTTGCACAATCTAGCAGGATTCTGTTAGAAGGAGCGAGTAGGAGAGAGTAAGGCGGAACATAAGGCAACATCGCAACACATAGTGACCCCCCTTGATTCATTATTGAAGATGCTACATCGTAAGGGAACAAAGCAAAGTTGAAACCACCAGCATAGAAGAGATCACGGCATAACCGAACAGCCCAACCAACATTGTAGGAACATAGTGTGGAACAGATCACAACCTAAAATAGCAGACCACAACATATCCGATCACAGTATAACATTGTACAGCACGTCCGAATATAACATCTTACAGTACGATGCAATGGGGAGCAAAAGCGACCGATTATTAGATTGAAGGGCGATGCTCCCCACCCATCTCACCCACGCTGGATATCTCGGCGGCCATACCCCAAAGACCACTGGTGGTCCTTGAACGCTCCGACTCGAATCTTCGACACATTGCACGGCGTCACGGTTTCACGAAGTTGAGTCGTCTCGACGTCACGCCGTTACGACTACAGAACAGGATTACGACTACAGGACAGACCATGACATGGTACGAAACAACAGCATTACCAGGAACTGGCGGCTGCCTGGCGGCGGCGGCCTGGCGGCTGTGTTGTCGCCCTCGCCGCCCCGTCGCAACCTCGTCGCCGCCCGCCGTCTGAGCAAATGTGGCGTCCTGGCGGCTATGTTGTCGCCGTCGCCGCCCCGTCGCTCCTTCATTTGCAACGTAGATTGCAACTCTTATATTGTCTCACAAAGCCTGCGCCACATAGGTTCTCCTTTCTAAAGAATATAAGCTCTACCCCCCCCCCGGCGTTATCCACCCCCCTTTCGGGTATGTAAATCATACATGATTTCGACCACATGGCCATCCTAAATGAATTTACATTATCCCAGGGGGGCCCGTATCGCTCCCCCTGAGGTTCCCTAAAAACAATCAGCGGGGACATGTTTTGTTCTAACGTAAGACTTGTTTCGCGAACCCCTTGCAACAAATAGGACGAAGTGCGCACGCGCGCGTGGTCGCGCGCGCATGCCGAAATCCTCCAAAAACCTTCGGTGCCGGAAGATTCGCAATCGAGTTCCCATAGTACATACAGAAACACACGGTTTCGCAACACTGATTTGCTAAAAAAGCTTACGCACGAGCTCTTGCGACATCTTAAGGAAACCATAGGTTTTTCAAATTTTTCATTAAATGCTACCAAACGAGCTTCGCCCGCGCTCATGTCGAAATCAGTCGAACGCCCTTGCGCGTGTGCCGTCGCGAGAACCCGTTGCAAAAAATGAGACGAAGTGCAGACGCGCTCGTCGTCGCGCGCGTATGCCGAAATCCTTCAAAACCCATCGGCTTCGGAAGGAGTTCAACATCGTGTGTCCAAAACTCCCACAAAAAAGCAAGGTTTCGCAACACGGATTTTCAACAAAAGCGTGCGCGCGCGCTCTTGTGTCGTCGTCGTCGTCGCCGTGCTCCCTCCTCCCGCGTCGTCGTCGTCGTCGCCTACGTCGTCCTCTGTCTTTCCTCGTGTTCGTCGTCGTCGTCCTCTTTGGCGTCGTGGTCGTTTCCGTCGTCGTTGTCGCCGTGCTCGTCCTTCCTCCTCCTCCCTCGTCGTCGTCGTCGTCCGTCGTCGGCGTCTCGTCGTCGTCCCTCCTATGTCGTCGCCGTCGTCGTCGTCGTCGTCGTCGTCGTCGTCGTCGTCGTCTTCCCTCCTCCCTCGTCGTTGTCGTCGTCGGCGTCGCCGTCCTTCCTCCTTCTTCGTCGTTCGCGTCGTCGCCGTCCTCCCTCCTCCCTCATCGTTGTCGTCGTTGTCGTCGTTGTCGTCGTTGTCGCCGTCGTCGTCCTCCCTCCTCTCTCGTCGTCGTTTTCGTTGGCGACGTCGTCGTCGTCTTCGTCGTCGTCGTTGGCGTCGGCGTCGTCGTCGTCGTTGTCGCTGTCGGCGTCGCTGTCGTTGCCAAGTGCCATTTGGTACCCACCGTCACGGTCTTAAGAGATTTTACAAACCAAGTTGCGGGTGGGTGGGTGGGATGTTTGCGCGAGCAGTGGAGTGGGCAACTCACTGCGAACATAAATTAATTGCACCACATAGATTGCACCACGTTGACTGCACAACATAGATTGCACAACATGTGTTGCACAACATAGGGTGCACCAACAGGTAACCCAGCATGTATTGCACCACGTAGGTTGCACCACATATATAACACCACGAAGATAACACCACACATATACATAGATTTTGTACAACGTAGGATGAATGGAGTGAACCGCATTCGTTGCGCACCATATAGATCATGTCCCATCTCGTGCAAGCCGTAGATAGCACAATACTCATTGCACAACACAGCTTGCACCGCATACATGGCACACGTTAGACCCCCCGCCATAGGTTCACACTGTTCAGGCCCATTCGACACACACTGTTCAGGCCACGCGCAAGGTAACATAAGAGAAGGGAGCAACACAAACAATTCGCCGGCCCAACGGGCCAGAGGCGCGCTAAGATCTCCGGTAACTAATTAATAATATTTCTAGTTCGCGCGCGCGGGGCGGCCCCTGGGGGGCAACGGACGAAAAGTACCCCTGCCGATCCCCGGCTGACCCCCAGGCGATCCCCAGGGGGGAGGCTATTTTTCGCCACCCCTCGCGAGGATCGTGGCCTCCGAGGGGGGGGCTGCCAACGACTACCCCCCCTCCCGCCCCAAGGGGCCCCCACGAGCCCCCCAAGAGGCAGCCCAATACGCCGCCAAGGAGCCCCAAGACGCTCCCAAAAAGCCCCCAAGAAGCCCCAAGACGGCCCCAAGAGGCCCCAAATAGCGCTCCAGGGCCGGCGGAATGAGCGAAACGATTAAATAATCGATTATCCAATTGCCGAATTGGAAAATTCGTGTACAACATCACATATCATAGATGAACCCACTACTACGTAACAGTAGTAAAAGGACCAGCGCGTAACTGAAACGAGTGTAACATACCACGTAACAACACAGGGGATATGACGACATAGCACATGACGAGGCATATGATTGCCAACCATGCCATAGCACAATATGCCATACACTAAACCATATAGACACAAACACAAACACAACAACACATACCACAGCATATCATGACCCACGCGACTGGTAAAGTACGACACATACAGGAATCTGTCATGGCACACCACAGCGCAATTTAATCGATCATGCTGACCCAATACATACATCACGGAAATCGGAACAACACGAACTAGGATGAGACCGCGTAGATGTAAAGAGAGGATCGCATCCCAGACTAGGACATCAGAGGAGAGACCATGCAATGAGACAATAGACGATCATGAGCCATAGCTGCAACATCCGCCACCGTGCCTCTTGGCACGGAGTGGGCGTGTCCTAAGAAGGCCCCAACAAGGAACATCATTCATATTGCTCGGGCGTTTGAAATATTGTCGAATTCTTTTCGGCTTTCCGACGTTCCAGGACGGCCCAAAGAACAGCAAAAGGGCCCCAAGCCAGCCCAAGAGGGCCCCAAAACTGCCAAAAACAGCCCAAACAAAGACACACGACGGCCCAAAAAGGGGGCCCAGGGAGGGAACACAGACAGAATATCCCAGCCTTCCGTCCCGAGAAACCCTCAAACGGCCCCAAGATGCGCCCAGGGTCCTCGGAGGCCCCCAAGAGGCCCCCAAAGAGAACCAAAAACACGCCCAAGACAGGCCCAGAGATGCCCCCAAACGGCTCCCAAGAGGCATCCAAACTGCCTCCAAGAGGCCCCCGAAAAAGGCTCCCCACGATATGCCAGCGGACATCCATAATGCTTCATACCCGCAACCCGGCCACAATGGCGGAATGGGGCGAAAACCATTCGACAACAGGGCACATGGCAATAGAAATCATGACTGAATATATCATAACCTATTGTGATGCAATTGGCCCGGAACTAGCAGAGACTCTGACAATCCTTTACATAATACAA